TTTGTCATCGGAAAACAGATTTCGTGGATTGTATTTTCTAAAAACCAACATAAAAAAAAACAAAACAGAAAACCAACACAACGGAACTGCCCAGAAAGGAGAACCAAAGTCATCAACAAAACATTAACAACTTCAAGTACCAAGAAATATCTTGTGTAAACAAATTTACCGGTCTCATGTAAACACGCAAAAGTCTGCCGGAGTTTACCTTCAATTTAATTCATCTTCTGAACAAGAAGCAAACAAAACTCTCATCTGAATTTAGTTTATTATATTTTGTTAATTACTTCCACTGTGACAAAAGCAAACATATTTTCCTGCTATGAAAGCAGGGCTGCCAAGATGACTCCTCTTTTGCAAGTTTAAGTTTGTTCTTATCACGAGACATAAATGATGGCGTCTTGCACGGCTATTTGGTGAACTGCAGCAACCACAAAATAGTTTATACTTGTGGACGATAATAAAAACAAGAAGGCTTTGACTTGAAAACCTTCTGTCAGGACACATTTTCATTTGAAACTAGGTGTCAACATTATTTTGTCCCGGCTTTTATCTCTTTTCTATTTTAAAAAAAACCTTAAAATTTTCACAATTACTATGTACTAAAAGGCGAGTTATAACAAAATTTTTCCTGGTAAAATCGACTCCAATACCCTCTTATTATGTCTGTAATACCAGTATTTAGCGGGAAAACATGAAAATTGTCCCACATCCTTATGACCTTAGTCCAGTTGCGGGGGAACACGTAGCAGTTGAATTGATGGTGACCTATTGTCTCGATCTCCGATACCCCATTTATCCCTCCAACCAAACATTTGCTTGCGGCAGCGACGTCCTGCAGTGAGGCACTGACAAAGTTGTTTCACTGCTGGCGTCGGAAATATATTGTTATTCTACTCAATACAAGGGACTTTTGGCTTTTTTAGGGCGAGAAGAGGCTTCCGCTGATAATATGGCTCATTTAAGCTGTAAAGTCTGCGTGTTGAGCCCAACGAAGTGCGACGTAGTTATCAGACGTTATGAACGTAACTATGCTCAAAATAGCACACACATTTCTTTACATATTCGCAGACATAAGGAATTTGCAAAGACCTTTACGGTCAAGGTGTTTTGATATGTGAAGAAATTAAATGTTGGTTACTTAAATTTTGTATTCAAACTGCCATACATGGATGTGTCTGCATGGATGTGGCGTGGATTTCAGCGTAGAGTTTGTCATTTATGATCGTTTCGCAATCAAATTAGTCAAATTTGTCAATCCCGGGTTATAATTTTCTTAACCACACTTTTTTAAACTCGTGGTTTACTGACTTTTCCGCGCTAGATAAATCCCGCTTAAACTAGATCCACCATCTCAAAAGCCGTTTTTAACCGGCTTGAAGTCGGCCAAAAAATGTGCAAAGTTTTGAGTTCGGGACGCATTTTATACTCTTAGACCACCTCAAGAGGTAATGATATCAAGTTGATCTCGGAGATTTAACACGATGCTGGTAAGAAGTGATGATAAATTGATCTCCTGTATTTTCACACTTTCCCAACACCAGAGGAAAACAGCCCTGCGTGAAACGATACTTACAGTTAAAGCCCCTTCCGTCCTTTCAGGTAGCCTCTTCCAGGCGTTCAGTTAGTTGGGACGCAGGGCGAAAAACGACGCGCGAAAAAAGAAAGAAGCGCCGCGAAAGGAAGCGAAAGAACCCCTGTGGGCAAACTTAACAAAGGGTCGTTCCGGTATACCAGGATCTGGTATACCCTCTGATTGGTCAATTTTGAAAGGTTTTTTTTCAACACTCCAGCGTTACTGACGCAGATGAGAAATGCGATATGGCGGTGGTCAGAGACCTCTCAACGACTGGCCCGGAGTTTCTTCTTTCGTGGCATTAATGAAAGACCAAGTGGACAGATGAACAAAATTGGAGTTGCAGCAACGGCAAGAAGCCGCAAAATTAAAGTGCAAGATTACGTGTAAAATTTGGTTGCCGGGCCTACACAACTGCCACGGTTCGTGACATTTGTACATTTGCCGTTCTCCTTTCGACCTTTTCGGTCTCTCGACCTTTCGCTTTCCATGTGCTTATACTTTGTTTAGGCTCATATCCATTGCAAGATATGTTTTTAAGTCTTTAAGTATTGGCTTTCGAGGGACATGTTGCTAAGTTGCATTCTATATTGTTGGCAACTGAAAACCACAAGCCGGCGGTCATGTTACGGGCCCCTGTAGGCGGTCTATAAGTGGGCGGAAGGAGTTTTTGTTAAGTTTCCCACAGGCGTTCTTTCGCCTTCTCTCGCTGCTCTTCTCCCTATTTTTTCCCTCGCCATTTTTCGCGCTGCGCCCAACTGACTGAACGCCTAGAAGGGGCTATCCTTTCAGCGAGTGGTGAGTGAGAGAGTTGTTTTTCCGTGCTGGGTCTTGCTGGCGGGTTGCTGCCAAATTATTTTTGTCGCCGCGTTCAAAGTGTCACAGATATTTTGTTGTAAGGTTCGAAGTTGTTTTTGTTACTGAAGCGGGATTTTTCAGTGGAGTCCAAAATTATTTGTTTGAAATTGTGACTTTTTTTCTTCGCTGGTTTCAAATAAAATATCTTTTTCGTTGCTTGTTTGTCGCTGTTGAAGTTAACGAAATTCGAACTTATTTAGCAGCCAATCAAAATGCAGTAAAAAAAAAAACAAACGCCAATTAAAATCAAAATTACCATCTCTCCGTCTTTAGTGTAAATCCATTAGCGTTCTATTACAAATAACGCGGTTCTCGTACTGGAACCCACTATCTATTTTATTGCAGCTAGCGAATAGCCTAGCTGTATGCGCCGAGTTGTTAGCAATATGACGGCCAATTCTTTGTTTTTTTGACGTTATGTCATTATTTATACAAACGTGAACTTGGTTGTGTAAGTTTTTAGGGACTAGTAGATAAGTCAATCATATTATGCCTCAAGGATTGGAATCTCGAGCTTGAAATCGAATTGTCTAGTAAAGTTTATGAAAACAATAGAACTTTACAGACAAAAACGATAGACCAAGAAGTAATTGCTTTTCAATTTTAAATTTCTTGCACAGTTAACAAAATCTGTTGGGAGTTATTTTTTGTTAGTCTTACATTGCAACTAAAATTAAAGAAGAATAAACTAGCAATTCGATGACTATGATTGTTTGAGAAAACTAAAAGTGTGTTCATGATCAAAACAAATTTACCCAAATCTCCGGCCTGAACTTTTACTAACACTAATTATTTGTTAGTCATTATGTAGTTTTAAATTGTCCTCTGCAATTCACGAATCCGTTTTTTCACGTCATGCAGGGGAAAGATTTTCAGCTAGATTTAACGGTCCTGCAGACATTTCATGTTCTCTAGGTTGCAAGGGCAGAATACTTGCTGTTTTGGATAGGGAAGAGCCTCTTATACAACCAGTTTCGTTACAACGCAGCCTTGAGAATCATGAAAACTGTCTAACACGGTTTGTTTGCAAGATGGCAATGGTGTTTTCAGAAGTTTCCCCGGCATAAGGAAAGAATTTATTCCTCAATGGAGAGAAATTTTATTGCTTGGGAACAGCACTATGGGTAATGACGTGAAGTGGAAACACTCTTTACGCGTCTGTCAAGCGTACCTTTAATAAAGGGGAGCTATAGTAAACCTATCACGTTTTTCGATGAAGAATAAAGGCGTTCGGTGAGACTGAAAATCATCATGCAAAATACACAGAGATGAGCGAAAATAAAGCAAATAGTCAAAAGAAGAATAGAGAAGGTGTTGTCTCCAGACTTGCCTGAAATACAAATTTTCGTTGGTATGGGTGGACGAAGAGAGCATTCTCTGTTTTTTCCACCTTTCCGTTAAAAGTTTAACCATCAACTTATAACAAAAGGACTTGTTTAAGGATTTGGGCTCTCTCTGATTGGATGAAGAAGTTTAAAAATTAACGGGCCTTTAAATTAATTGGGATGGACTGACTGTATGGCGGTTTCATTCAAGTCTGGCCAAGGCAACTTTTCCATCATCTGAGCTTCAATCAAAGTGGTCGCTTCAACTGCCTTCATTCATCTTGGTGCAAAAATTGTTTGCTTTGCTTCTCCGATATCAGCTATGATTGACAGACATGTTTACATTGCTAACCGCCCAGAGCAGTCTTGTTTCCAAGGGTTGCATAGCAATGGAACTTGTGTCAAAACATCCCCAAAGATTTTTTTTCGCCAAGTTTCAAAAGGATCGTGAGCTGAGTTTAAAAGAAGAGTGGCTATGTTGCGCTGATTCATTACCAAGAAAGGCTCCTGTTAAGGTAAATCGCGGTTTTTCATAACGTAAGCCAAAGATCAGATGGTTGCAGTTGTATTTACCCTTGCAGCGGCGTCAAACCACCTTTTTCAAGTGTCCCGGATGCTGGCAGTATTTAGGTCCAAAACGTGTCACAAGCCCAAATTAAAATATCAATATCCTTTTAAAAAAAGCGTTATCTTTTTTTAATTTGGTTCTTTTGATTGTTACTTGACACTATCATTACCACTTTTTTTTAATTTATGCAACAAAATGTGATCATCATAGCTGCCAAAGTTGAAGCCATAAATAAAAAAGTAAGAAAATGACTATATTTAAGATGAGGAATTACTATTTTTCTACCGTTGTGTCTTCAATGTGTTTCGGCAGTATATAGACCTTTACTGGGGAATTAAGGACCTCATAGGGCCTAGTCTACAAATAATTACACTTCGTAAAAAGCCGAAAAGAATAACATGAAGATCGACAAAAAAATAGCAAAACTTAACAGGGAGGTTCTAATCCGCAACCATAGCTGATTTCACACAAACTGACAGATGTCGTTTTAAAATCAACCAACAGTGCATTAATCAGGTCAGTCAAAAAATCCTGTCCAGCGAGATACAAGCAGAACTTATAATTATGAAAAGTACTTTCTCGTTAAAAATATTCAGAGAACCAAATAAAGAAAAGAGATAAAAAGAACATTAACGACGTGCTATTTATTTAGTACGGAAAAAAAAAAACTTACTATTGACGCCCTCTCACCGAAGTCTTGCTTGCCTTTTAAAAAGAGGTCGGCGACAGATGCAGGCAGAAATTTTACCTTTTTCGCTATTTATTGTCTCAAAGGTGATATGTCTATTATGTCAGTGCTGTCGTTTGGTTGGCAGAAAAATTGACCAGTAAGGTGCAGTTTGTGATGGGCAATACCCTTGATTAGAACAATATCATAATTACGGCGAGACAGCAATCACGTCTTTCAATTCAAGAGACAATTGTGGAGGACCTGTTGTTTAGAAACGACACTGATTTATAGTGTTAATTTTCAGACCCTACTTCTTGAAACATGACAATTCTGAAGTTGATTAAACCGCATTTCGAATTCTGTTGGAGGTAATTAAATTGAATTTCACTGTACGATCAAAACACGGCTGAAAAATAACAAGACAAGTAACAATTCCATTAGGGTACAACACAGAAAAAATCAAAGTACGTTTAGACAGCAAAACAAACACTAGATGAGGGAACTCGCATCCTTCCGTTTACAGGCAAAATTTAAATCACTTTTTTCAGGATATTTTTAATTACAAGTTGCCGTATTGTTTACTCGTGCCGTTAAAGGTAAACATGCAAACCTTTGTTAAACATGTCTATTACATAAACTTTCGATCCCAACAACGTAAGAGAAAAATAAAATAAGCCATCACTAACCGAATAAATCTGTCTTCATTTTATATTATCACACTTTCTACGCTTAATATCGATCATTAGTGGCAACCTATACACAAATCTCATTAGTGATAAATCAAGGTGCGAAAAAGGGTTGCTTTAGTTGCCTTATGGTACGCATTACCAAGTATATTCAGAACATTTTTTGTTGCAACGTATTTTAAAACTGCTAATAATCCGACAGAGCTGATAAACAACAACGAGAATATTTGTCAGGTCAACCTCTCCTTTTTTCAAACATTTTCATATCTGCAGGACTGTAACTAAATCTGTTGAATCAAAAATTACAACTACAAATCGTAAAAGAAAACTCCATCGATAAAAGCCACTTCTGAATATTGCCGTATACTATGTCAAAACAACAAGTGTGCCTGGAGGTAAAATAATTTTTAAAAATGTTGTATTACCTTAAATGTTCTCATGAATACAAATTACAGTTCCTGCAATCATGTTCAATAACAATGAATTTCGCTTGCAGCGCTTGCAATGAGATCGCAACTTGCTAATTAAAAATGGATGTGTTACCGAGCCATATTGTGTAAAAGGGTTCTCTGGTTATGAATTTTCAAAGTCATAAGCTTTCTGCCTTCTGCCTAAAGCCTTTAAAAACGAAACTGTAAAAACAGGAGATGAAAAATATATGCGAAACGAAAAAGTGAAAAATGTAAAACGGTGTAAAATGTAGAAAAATGTACTAATATCAAAGAGTAAAGTATTATTTTGGCAACGACTTGCTTCGTTCGTGTGGGCAGTATGCAGAAATTATAAAGTTTTTCGATCTCAAATTAAAAGTTTAGCATGAATCAATCCGAATTGTTGTTAGATCATGCGTGGGCTAATATATCAAAACCTCTTTGTATGTTAACGTTTTTAGACTCGGGTTGTGTTCTTTTTACGTAGAAAATACCCTCCAGTTTTGCCAATATATATAGCTACATGGACAGTCTGCACAAGGAATTCTATATTTATTTATTTTATATACCAAATAAATTTGGAGATCAAAGAGAAAGGAATACTTGTAAAGAGTTCTTGTAAGTTTTGGCGACAACAGTGATTTCGCTCTTTCGACGAAGACGTATAAGTGGTTTTGTGACACCACGAACATAAGGAAGACTGAAGCTGTGCCGGAGGCTTTATTTTCAGTCAAACTGAAGAACATGCCTGGCTAGTAATTCTTCCGGTGACGGTTTAATTAAGTCAGTTCCGGACTTTTTTTTTTTCTCAAAGATGCTGGAGATTTGATCAGATGAATAGTCAATAGCGTGTAAGACGTTGGTAACATAGCTTCTATTTTAGCATGAAAACGCACGTAGACTTCGACGGAGACAAGCGACAGCCAGAACGACGTCTGTGTTCGGCCACTTCTATCTAGATTGATGTATAAGATGATAAGATGGGATTAAAAGTTAGAGGATCGTGATTAGCAAGGGGAATAATTTGATAGTCTCTTATGATCCCACGAAATTGCAAGAGAGCCAACCTGAGT